TAAGACATTGGTTATATATGCGTTGTAACACACGGACCAACAATCTCAGTCTATGCAGATTCACAGTATGATTGAGTAATATAATATGAGAATAAACAAAGATGAATGTAAGCCAATTATAAAATCACTCAATGATATTTTTGCAGAATACAGAAGTGTAAACAAAACTGTTATATGCATTACACCTTTGTCGGGGTCACTTATGTGAGAACTAAAACTGTAGTACTATAATACTACTATTGTACGATACATGCCTAGTTGAAATTGATTGAAGGGCAGCTAGTTGTAGTATGATTACTGAGTAAAGATTATTTAATTGAGTTGATACCTGACTCATCACCAGTTTAATAGGGTTGATTGTATTGATAAAGATGAATTATTTAAACCATAACACTTCCGATCAATCACACAACCACAATGAAGTATTCTCGATATTTTGTACTGTGAATGTTGTTATTTTTTGCTAGAAAAAATAGATTAGAATTATAAAATTGATTTGTTTCAGGATAGTATCTATCACAGACTGACATCAGTTGGAGAACCACTGAAAATCTGGGAGTACTGAACAGCTGTTTCGCCCTAGTATAGGACTTCTCAGTATTACATACACATACATCATCCCAACAGACGAAACAGCTATACAGTTTTCAGTGGTCCTCCAAATAATAATAATAATAATAATAATAATGGCTTTATTCACAAAGATATTTCGACAATACTGTACAGAATTTTCAGCATATTGTATAGCATCAATTGGACAGAAACAGTTTATATGTACACACAGTAAAATGTAATAAGTATAAATTACATAAAAAAGATGACAATATTCACTATACCCACAACTTTCTCAGAAATGCAGAGTAAACTTAGTTAGACAATCAAATTAGCAATTAGATTCATGATTATTATTTTTTTTCCGTTGGGTTCCTAGTGGAACATACAGCTTCAGTAGCACGCCTCCATTGCACTCTTTTCTCTGCAGTCTTTTCAACCTGATGCCACGACTGCCTACAAGCTTTCATTTCCTTCTCACATGATCTCCTCAATTGTACCCTCACCTCGCACGCCCAACTCATCGTTTCCCATCTAGCTTCCACTCGAGGGTCTGGCCTGGCGAGTGCTGTCCCCAGTCGGCCTTCTCAATGTATATCCAAACCAATCCATCTCCACTTTCTTCTGCATATTTGTTGAGTAATAGGTTCTTGGTTGGTTCGTTGACAGCCAGCCAGAGTTCCTTGTTGTTTATTCTTTCTGGCAATCCATCTGATCTTCAATATGGAGTGGAGATTAATAATACATAGTTAACAGCAAGCTGTGTAAACTTTGATCAGTTCGCTTTCAAAAATAAAAGTTGATTAGTTAGTTCATATATAGTCCTTTCTTTATCGCCTAGGAAACGAACTAAATACGACATTGTGAAGTTTTTATATTTAGTATTACGTGCATAAAGTCTTATGTACTTACTCCTGGTCTTCCTTGATGACCACCACACAGAGAGCTTTGAGTGAAGAGGATGCTTGTTATCTCATAAAATAACCCCTGTCAGATGTTTACATGAATTAATATGTTTGTCCATAACCGTTTTAACTAGAAGGTTTCGGGGTACACCATTAGTTCAGGTGACAGTATTCAAAGTTCTATGCAATATAGTCCATAGTCTTTTGTTAGCCACCCAGAAAGAATAAAGGGTAACAATAGGGGAGAACAGGCAATATACAGGAGTTTATAAAACACAAAAGAAGAGGCTAGTTATACCAGATACTATCACCTTCCTAATGTAGAAAATTAAGCAAAAAATCCTTTTGGAAATTAATAAGATATGAGAGAACCAGGAAAGGTTCAAAGAAAAACACACACCAAGATAAATCACACTTGTAACATTCTCTAATGCACAACTATCAATAGAACAGGAGTCATGAGAACTAAACAGTTTATATAGATTGTGTTGACGTCTGAAAATGAAGTTTATGGTCTGACGTTTTGAAGAATCTAGCACAAGACCATTCACGGAGAACAGTCGTCCAATAGTAGATAGGACGTCATTCCATTGGCAACTGATGACAAGTCAACGACTAATACCACTCTGAAATCAAATAAATCCTTGTAAACCTCCTTCAATTAGTTTCAATCTAGCCAGGCCACAGATTTCTATTGACTGATAGGATTGGTTTTCAAGTATTCAGATTGATTCAAGGTATTATGTACTTACTTAATCTATAGAACGTAAGTTGTATGTAAACAGAAAACAAAAAAAAAGAATTGTTTAATTCACCTCATTGTATTGTTCAATTTTCTTTTCCTCTCCTTTATCTCTTTGACTTCAACACATAAATAACCTTAAGTGTTTTTTAAAGAAAATATAATGTAACCATAGTGAATAGGATTTCAAGTAATCAGAAAAGGGAGATCTAGAACAATCAGAATAGAAAATGGACGATAATTGTGCAAAGTATGTCATTATTATTATTTGAGGACTTTAAGGTATGAACTTTGTAGAAAGTGTTTTGATCTCACTATAATATATTATTATTATTATTATTATTATTATAGCTTGAATAAAGAGTTGAGAGTAAAATAGAAGCTGAGAAATAAAGGAAATCATGGATCATGTTTTGTTTTGTTTTAAACGATCACTTTTATTTGGACGAAATCATTCAAGAATGAAGTTATAATGCCGAACTTTTTAAACAATTCACTGAAAGTATAAAATGATAAAATATTTATTGGAATACTTTTGTACAGTTTATAAAGTTTTTTAATAAAGTGTTTTAAAGAGATAGTAAATACAAATTAAGATGATTAACAACCATCATCATCATCATCATCATCATCATCATCATTATCAACATAGGACCAGGCATTACTGCGTAACAGTCCGAGTTGCCACACCTCATATCAGCACATCAAGTAAACCCTTTTGGATAATTGCTAGCAATCAACTAGAAATCCTTGAGTGAAACAAATTTCTTCTCTCAGTAAAGTTTTATTTTCAGATTTAAAGGAATAAATTTTCACTAAAAAAACTTTATTAAATCAGTTTCATTAAATGCAATAAACAATGATATAATAATTCACTTAACAATAAAGATTGTAACTGATATATTACTGTATTTGTTGACCCCAAAGGCGGTATTTAGCTCTATCGATTGAGATATCTTATGTCAGTATTCCTTACTAAAAAGAGTTCCGAGTAAGTAGGCTAATCTTTTGAAGGGTCTGGACTCGAACACTAATTGGCGTATCAGAGGCTATGGTGAAGCGATACGTGAGCTGTCTACGTCAAGTGGTGTCCGTCAAATGAATCCATTCTCTTGATTCTTATTCAATTTTATCATCAAAATTTATATACAGATATCTTCATCTAGTCACTTGACTTCACAGGGATCGGTTTTATCACATGAGAATCCTTAGTAGGTCTAGTGTATGCAGATGATATAGTCCTGTTAAGTGAAAACACTGACAAGATGTAGAGTCTTCTTAACAATAATGGAGTGAAAATTTCAGAATATTTGGGATGTGTTATCTGCCATCCAAATGCAGATTGTTGCTCCAGAACTAATGTTTAGTGGTTCTCTGTCTCTGCACAGATGCAAAAAGCTCTCCACGTCTTTTTCGACTTCCACCATGTTTGATTCTGCTATGATATTTGACTATCTATTAAGGGTCAAGTTTACTGAACTGCAGTTTACTCTGTTCTACTGTATAACTGTGAAACATGACCATTAAAGGTTGAGAACATGAGAAGGATTCCGGGGAATGACTACAGTTGCCTTGGTATCATAGGCTGCGTGTCATGGTATCACTCACATGCAGAGTTTTAGGGAGGAGAGGAATGTCACTGGATTTGGTTTTGCAGCCTGATCAAGTATTGTGCCTGCATGAAGTTTTACACTATTGGTCTGAGTCATGTAGAGAGATTTAGACTTTCTGGTTGGGGTTGCTGTGACAAAAGAAACCACTGGCTGGAGACTCTAAGTGAAATGGCTCAGATTTATCCACATATTATCATCATATCGATCATCATACAGAATCCACTATTTTCTCATTCCTCCTTTCTCTTTTCTACTACTTTCCATTGTGTTTAACTTATTTCTTTATCGTTCTTCTTAGTGCTTTCTCGTTTGATCTGCTGAAATGAGGTGAGAGAAATCGGACCGCTATGCAGTAACGTCTGGTCCTACGTTAATATTCATGATGATGATGGTGATGATGATATAACTGATGTCCTTTAGGCAACCAGGGAATAAAGTATGATCGATTTTATACCGTGTCTTACAGCATTTAGCATTACTGAATTACATAATATCTTGGAACTAACCTATACAGTCATGATACTCTGACAAGTGATAAATTCACAAAGCTATCCATCATCCCCTACACTGACCACCTTCTCTACTTGTCCAACTGCTAGAAAGAAAGGCTGAATCATACGGAAGTCATAGGAATGAATGATGTAAGTCATTGAATCGAATGTTTCAAGAGGAATTCATTAATTTACAATGATATCCTCTTTGATAATAGACACCATTGAACCTCAAAACTTCAGCAAATATGAACATTCCTTTAAAGATAACAGGGGTCAAATATACACCATGATAGGATATAATCTACACGAATCAACCAAACTTCACAGGTATAGAGAAGAAAGTAACCATTCAAAGTGTACATCACTCTCAGATATCGGAGAAAAACTGACTATTTTTTATTCAGAATAGTTAATACACTCAGTTTTCTCACTGAGCACGTTACTATAGGGTGACCGATTGACAGAAGCCATCAAGTTCTGACTAAAAGGTCAAGTGGCAACATGATTCCCGTGAGACCTAGGTACCATACGTTCGATATCTCATAGGTCGTGGATGCGCGCTTTTGATGAGCCCCTTAGTAGGACAGAACAGTTGTTCAGTGCTCTCAGGTTTTTAATACCTCTCCAACTGATGTCATTTTGAGGTTAATACCATCTTGAAATCAATTAAATCCAACAAAAACCTTCAACTTACACTCAATTTGACTGTTTCTATATAAGTAGTACCATAAGCTCTACGTGTAAAATCAGCTAAGTCAAATTGTACTTGATTCCATCCTTCATCAAGTTTCATTGGCATCATACATGCAAATGGTTTGACAAGTGTAGCACTTTGACAAGTACTTGCATGAAATCTTCGTTTCAAATTTTGATCATCAAGAACCTAAGCATTAATTGTTATAATACGATTGACTTACTTGAACTTCAAAAGTGAAGTATTTATTAAGATTCTTCAAAACAATTACTAAGATTGGCATTTTAACAGCCAGGCTCTTTTTTGAATCATTTGGACAAGTGATATATGTAGTACTAAACGAGGATTAGATTATGTGAATGATCTAACCTGATATTTCGACCCAAGATTTCTAGTACATATGATTGAATTTCTTCATCAGTGATACGACAAACTCGTCCATTTGAAACCTGAGTTCAAGATAAGTCCGTATATATTAATAAACGGACAAACTACATGCTGACTCCACATATCCAATGGTTTGCTTCCAACACTATAGAAAATTGATTTAAATTTGTTTGTATTAGCCTCCGTAATCATAACTGTACTGTAGTAGTAAGATAATATTTACTCAGGATTGTAAATTGATAGGAAACAGTAGTGATCAATGAGGGAAAAAACAAGAAAATAGCCTAAAATACCATAAGATAAAAATGGAAAAATAAGCTTTGTTAACAAAAGATTATGGGTAGGACTTATCATTACTGATAAAATCGATAAAAACAGTAGAATTTAATAGTTAACGGTATGTAATCAAGAAAGCCATCATAGTTCACTTAGAGAACAATACTCTACTGTCTCGTTCACAGCATGGCTTTCGTAGAGATTTCTGTTGCTTGACGAACCTCCTTACAGTCAGAGAAAGTTGGGTTAAGTGTAAAGATTATAAGATCTCTGTAGATGTCATTTTCATAGACTTTAGCAAGGCTTTTAGCAAGGTTGCTCTAGAAACTGGAAAGTTTTGGAATCACTGGCAGTCTGTTTGTATGGATAAGAGTAAGGACCAACTCCCAACTCTACACTTGGAAGTCGGTAGAGAGTGGAACACTGCAAGGCACAATCCTGGGTCCCCTGCTGTTTCTCCTTTACGTAAATGAACTGTCAAATATCACGAAATCCCTCATGGTTCTCTTGTCAGAGAAGTGGGTGATGCTTATCAACGCAGATAAATATGTGAGCGTGAACTTGGGGCACACAGATGGCAACACCTACGATATTCATGGGACTCATCTACCGTCACTACTGATCCACAATGACCTAGGAGTCACAATGAGTTATGAGTTGAAAAACAAGGCACACTGTCGATTGGTAGTAGCTCGGAGTTTAAAGACCCTCTGGGCATTACGCAGAACGTTTACGAAAATAAGTGGTGACATGCTCACCATCTTATACACATCCTTAGTTAGGTCTAAATTAGAAAAATGTACACAAGCGGCAAATCATTTTCTGAAAAGTGACCCAGACCTTCTGGAAAGGGTTCAGAGGTCAGCTACTCGTATGATCCCTGCGATAGCTAGCCTAACCTATGAAGATCGATTTAAGGAGCTGAGCCTCTTCACTTTGTCCTAGAGCAGACAGAGGGGAGACCTAATCATGCTATACAGGATTCTAAGAAATGACTTCAGATGTGATCTATCTTCTTTTTTCCTATCCACTAGGTCGGAACACCTCAGAGGACATAGTAGGAGGCTACAAAAGCAAAGAATAAATATAGTCTCCATAGAGCACTGGTTCTCGGAAGAAGTGGTGTCCGCATCATCAATTTACTCGTTCAAAAGAGGATTGGACAAGCACACAAAAATCTACTGGAAAAGGATTAATATAGACTCACAGCCTCCAATTCTCAAACAATAAATCTGAATCTGAAAATCTAAATACCAGATAAAATGTTGTTAGGATAAAACAATTACGGATCCTGTTGTTGGAAACGATTATGAGAAAAGTTAAGCAATTTATCTTATTCGACAAAGTTTCACAAGTGATAGACAAATGGATTACCAAAGAACATGGCATAGACGTGCATCAACGCTCAAGTTGATTTTATAATATCACAAACGAATAGGATGAATGAATACCGTCAACTGAAATAAAAGTTCAGGTTTTATTCTGCTTCTCACTGACCATAATGTAATAGATTCATAAACTTCAGTAGTACTCGTCAGCTGGATACTCTACGTACTTGATTATATATACCGTTAAGCAATGGAAAAGAGCACACATACATGCATACATACATACATACATGCATATATAACGTAGACAGTCATAGATTTAAGTATAACACAACATAGAAATGAACAGTTTTTTCAGGTTAAGTGGTAATGTAAAGGGCACAAACGGATGTCCAAAATTGAGTGGATTTGGGATAGGTTACATGATTAACTCTGCGTTTGGATAATAATGGATTTCAGGTAAGCGAATAATGATAATAATAATATTAATGTTTACACAGGGGTGAGAAATGAATCGGTTAAACGTAGATCACATCATTCAAAACAAGATACTCAATAATACTCAATAGTACCTAAGTACCTAAGAAAACCAGGTGTATATTGAGTTGAATAATAACAATGATAACAATGTTAATAGGAAGGAAAACAAAATATAAGATGAGTGGTATTTAGGAGCGAAGAGGAAGTAAGAAAGATTGAATATGATTAGATGATGTTGTAATTCCTAGCATGACATATTCAAGATGACTACCATTCCCTTCAGAATGCAGAAGTTTGGTTTGACAACTAGAATCTCACAGGCTTCTCCATATCCCAGCATTTCCTTAGTTTGCTGTCTACTGATAACTGCAAAAGACTTACAGGTATAAGCATCATGCCAATAATTCACTAGGTGTCTCATTATAGACTTCTCTGGGGTCTTCTCGACATGCTTCAACCATTGAAGTAGACAGATGTCTCTCCGTAAGACCAATGTATTTTCTTCCAGAGATACATTCGATGTGTTAAGGATCGGAGCCCTCTATTTCCCTTTGATTCTTGCAGTGCCCTTTTGGTAGTGCTGAGGATGATGAATTTTACAGCGTAGTAAATTCTTTTGATAGACTTCTCCAGTCTTCATCTAACTACTTCTAGCACGTCGTTGTCACCTTCGAATGGCAAGGTGATATAGAGTTGTCTTTTATGTAATGTTGGGGAAGTTGTTCTGCTTCCTACCCTTTTTCGTGTTTTTGTTGATAAAGCTTTCTAGGTATCCATTCCTCATTAGCACGCTTTATCAAAGTCACTAGTTCACAGTCTGGTGTACTACTGAAATTTATGAATTCATTGAATCCATCTATTTTTCACACTCGTTGCTTGTTTTATATCATGTAGTAGCTTATCAAATTGAGTTACTACACAATTATATCATTGTCCCTGTTGCTAATTAACACCTTCAGCACCTTCACCCCCCCCTTTATCTATAATTCAAGTACATTTGGATTGGGATGAGAAGTTCTGACTGGGCAGCCAGTTTGAGTACGAACAAGAGATAGTAACGCATCAAGAATTCACATGGCAATCTGGTAAAACGCTTGGTGACTGAGGTGAAATAGAAATCTGATCAGTACTCTGGTCTTGTAGCTCAGAAACTCAGTGATCGCTGGCTTCAATCCTGCCACAGACCAAACTTTATTATGGTACCAATAGAGCGGCAGAATATAATCCTTACTCACACTTTCCCAATTTGGATCAGTGACTTGCAACTGCAAATGAATGTTACCTAGTGGTCAAAACGTCAATCTGTTGTTAAAACTTCTTGTTTCAATGTATACTCACCTTTTCTGCCAGTACTTTTAAGATCTTGTTTGATGCGCAGATAGGGCTTATGTTAGCAGTTTCTAGGGATGCTCACATATGGTTGACTGAATTTGCTAGTTATAAGCACTTATCTGTACTGAAACACAGAAATATATGTATGAAAACTCTTGAAAAATTAAATGATCATCCGAAGATGACTGTTTAAATAACGTTAAATATTATCATCCTCTTTCATTGGCTTTAATAAAACGGTTACAGACAGCAAACTCCTTCGGAACAGTTTCTACTACCATTTTAGTAAAGATCACTAAGAGTACCTGGAACTTATTTGTCCCAACATAATGGAAATTTATCATATACAACAAATATCCCAACAATTTTTCTTAATACTTCAATTTATTACAACAACTTCATACATCCAAATGATTCAAATAAGTGTGATACTGGCTGCTATATCATTTCAGTCAGTATGAGGTTGAAAAGTGTACTGAAGTTCTCCGTATTAAAGAAGAACAGAGTTAAATTTAACAGTAAGATACCTTTTCTGAAACTTGTAAAGAGTAGTGTGATTTACTGTTCAGCCTTAAAGAACATGGATGTTTGTCTAATGACTTATGTTAATTCCTGCTATTGGTAATACAAATGAGACTTAGTCTAGCCTTGGAAGTGTCAACAGAAACTGCAGTTACTGTATGCTCCAGCAGAGATTTAGACCGATCGACAAATCTATACAAGAAATGAATTCCCGAACTTTGACGATTTGATTTTGAATGTTTATTGTTGGTTACCCTCTCAGGTGAACACTTCTAGAGTGGGGGAATAAATTAGATAAATAAGATAACCCGTAGATCACTATCTAAAATACGATATGCTAATATGAAATTACCCCCCGACAGTAAGACAATTGAGAAAGACCTAATCGGTCTAGTCTTTGTTTGTTCGAGAGATCGGAAAGTCTTTCGGATACTTTCAGTTCCATTCTCTAAATCCCTCTAAATATATAAGATTCGTGTTTAAAACACTAGTCTGCTGTTTTTATCCTATAACTCAAATGCAGTCCTGCATAAATTCGGTAGAAAATCCAAAATATGTCGTCACTGGGGCTCTGGAAAATCGTTTGAAGAAAGGCGAAGATTCACAAAATCTCGGCTTCTGTGTTTTAAACATTGACTGATGTTTTAAGCTTATGGCTAACTACGACCTCTAAGCTTTGATAAACATGAATGTGCCAGTGATTGAGTATTTATATGGAACGACGCGGCTGACCTCCGTAACCATACTCTTAGTGGTGTTGTTTCCAAAGGGATGGTTTTGTGAAACAATATCCCACAGTATTTAGATTGTCCTGTAGTGGTGGTTTATCCAGATCACTGTGAGCGGCTTTGTGAAGTTAAAAGTCAACTGTAAACATAAGGATGAAATACTTAACTGCACTGCATACCTCATCCATATATAGTTGAAGAGAAGCAGGCCTCTTAAACCTATAATGGCTTTTACCACGACACAAACCTGTTTACTGCTACTGTTTTTTACTGTCGCACAGAAAGTTTTTGATCCGGCCTCTAGACCTATCAGTAGTTCTGAATCCCCTCAAATTTTTCATGATATCGAGGTTTTGATGAAGTCCACGAATATTTCATCAGTTTGTATGTTTATATTGCTGGATTTAAAAGAGTCCCACAACAAACTGATGAAGTTTGTCAGTCATGAATGACCAGCCTCGTAAACATACTGTTCTTTGGCTTAAGAACTATTCCTACCAACAAACATATGGATAAACTTTTAAAAGAGATTAACAACTACACTAGTAACAATAACCAAACGGTTTTCGGTTTTTGGATCTTTATTGATGTATTTATAAACTGAACCGATTATGATGTGTTCAGCCCCTTGCTGATTAGGATGAAGTCAAAGGCAAACTAAAACGCGTTCTACCAGTGTTGAGAATATAAGAGCATGGATCTCATCTAGATTACCGAGCCTGACAAGGTGTAGGTTCTAGGGAAGTCTAAGAAAGAAATTATGGGTGAACACTGCTTCCATTGATAGAATGTCACTAATGAAAACAGTTTTCACGTACCGGACACAATCTTTAAATAATAACTGGCTGAATTATTTCGATTATGCTTCAGTCTTAGCAATCTCATTATCAGCCACTTGCAACAAGTATTTATAAAGTATCAGATGTGGGTTATCTTCAATTGTCTGAGTTCTGCGTTTAATGTAAGAGAATAAGCTTCTGAGAAAACATTCAGAATCGTGAGTTAGGTCTCTCTCGGCTTTTCGAAAGTTATTAGCATCAGTATTTTAATGCAAACTGACTCAGCCCCGTGTTAATGAAAACGTTCGCTGTCTTTCCCTACAACTAGATGATTTCCAAGTCCGAATAGTTACCTAGGCTTAAAGAGTTTATCTCAGGTTGCGTAACGGTAACAAATAAACCTTTAAATGTACCTCATTTGTCATCGATAAGCAAAGTTACGTAGACGTAAGAGTCTACTGACTAAGCACGTTCTAACACCAGACATTCTCATGAGGCTGGAAAAGGTCATATATCACAAAACAAGTTCTAGATTGAAATCAAAGCCCTACATGGTCACTGTTTGTTGACTTGGGGAGAATAGTAAGACCAGATATGATATCCATCTCAAGCATTAGCTCAAAAAGCTTTTTTTCCCCTAGATGTATGACATCGTAAACATGCTCGGTCAAAGCACACTCTGTAGCTGAAAAAAATGTACTGTCAAATGAACCACCCAATTACACAGATATAAATTTACCCCAGTTTATATTAAGCGCATTAAGCACCTTCACTACAAAATAGCTGCTGTTTCCACTACAACTGCTGATACGCCGTACTACGGAGTCATCGGTCTGGTAAATGACTTCAGACTATGTTGACAGCAAACTTACATCCATTCAAACAGACTAGTCACCCAAAAACTTCCTGACTTGTTTGGTTCACCAGTGACAGGTCTTACTTGAAGATTGTCACCCATACATAGCAATACTTTATAACCCCTTTGCTTCCCTTTGTCACTATGAAGTTAAGTATACATTAATGTTTGGGGCGTTGCCTATAGGTCGCAAAAGAAACATATCTCCGTGACTGCTACAATGATCTAGTCCACCTTTCTTCCCACTTCAAATAAGAAAAGTACTGAGTATGATTAGGTTTATCGTAATTATGTCTGAAGATGAAATTCAACCTAGGGCAGGATTACATGGCGATGATGAAAGGCTTGCCTTGTGTGATGGCTTGAATGCATTGTTTGAATAACTCTGAAAGGTTATTCATGATGACAGAAAATCCCTGCAAATCAATCAGGAAGATTCGTAAGAATGTCTAAATAATCATACGCTTTTGATCGAACCCTCTTTGTATACGAATTTATGCGTCACTACAGGTCATGATCTCGAAACTTCACCAAACCTCATGCTGATGGTAATTTTCAAACGTCCCTCAGTCTTGATCTCTCTCCTAAGCGTCACATAGATTTTAAAAGAGCAATTTTTGGACCTTGTACCTGAGATACACGAGAACACGATATGAATATAGAATCCAAGCAGTCAACCCAAATTTCAAATATGAGGCAGATACATTAAAATAATTTCAGATAGTAGAGACTTAAGTGTCTAACAGTCTCTAGAGAAATCTAACCAGTTTTACGAAGAAACACGAATCCATATAACTTGAATCGAGACACATTTATTGCTTTTTGTGTATTTTTAAACTAATTGAACTTTATCGCATGTGTCTTACACGATAATTTGAAGAAACATTCGTCCTAAGTATCCCCCTTTCAAGGCCTTTCACATTAAACAAACTACAGCTTTAATGTCTGAATCTGGGAGTCTATTTCGCATATCAAACTTAAAGCCTGTTTAAGTTCTGTCCATATTATTTACTTAGAAGTTTGCTACTACTTCGTCATTTTTCTGTCGATAGAATCAAAAACCCGTGGTACGCCTAAGCAACTCATTGAGTGGTCTGCAGCTGTCATTCATTTTTTCGAGCCAAAAAGTACGTAATTCATGAAAGTCAAGTAATAACCAATAGAAATTAGAGGAAACTAATACTATATGATAAATTTGAGCTAAATAGTGAGTTTGTAAGATTTCCAATGCACACTTTACTACCTGAAGGTGAATAAATGAGTGTAGCGTCATACACTTCCCCAAAATCAATAGCCTAGGGTTTGATGACTTTCGACATTGATGCTGACCTTGATAGTTTAACTGGACTCGCTAAGCTGAAGGCACCCGGTCAAGCATCCTGGCCATTTGACACGCTGTCGTGTTACGTTGCATTGCTAGTATTCGACTCTCTAGCCAGTTAGTTGGAACGCATCGTTATTTTGGCATAACCATCCGAATATACTATTCCATCCGACTACGCTATCGTGTTCTTCCTTGGTCTCGTATTCGTGGGTATATAACAAGTTCGAATAATTAGTGATTGGTCTTTGCATCTGTCAAGTTCGCACCAGGACAAATCCTAAATGAGCATTCAGTTCATGGTGGGCTAAGTGTGTTGCCTGATCCTTGTAACTTTATTCAAATAT